AAATTGAGCAGAAATTAGTTTGAGTTTGTAAAGGCGGGGAGCAGCACATAACTCCGCCAATTTCCGTCTAACCCCGCACTTGCGGAATTAGGCGTGATTAGGCGGGATTACGCGGAATTACGCGGGATTTGGCGGGATTACGCGGGATTTGGCGGGATTACGCGGGATTTCGCGGGATTACGCGGGATTTGGCGGGATTTGGCGGGATTAGCGGAATCGGACGAAAGGTAAAATTTTTCTCAAATTTTTGAAAATGTAAAATTTTGGTTGTTTTATTCCAACGACAAAAATCCAAATAATCTTTGGAGGCTCAAAATTCACGTATAAACATAATACCATTCTTTGCAACAGTGGCACAATGCTCTTCGCCTGATCTTGACCCTCGGAAATCTCGGAACTGAGCCGTTATTTTTCAAGCTATCTTCAACAGCAGCTACCCAGAGGGTTTTGTGATGATTCACCGACGTTGCTTTTAGTTCAGTAACCAAGAAGAAAAGCGTTGTTACCAAATTATCAGATCATAAAGACTTGTAACCGTTCTTTAAATCTAATTGCCCTGCGATCTACTTCAAGCTCTCACTTGGGTTATGTTAATCTTTGAATAAATTCAAAGATTCAAAGCGTCAGTTGTGTTATTAAAAGCGTTAGATACGTTATTTCAAACTGTAAATCTAGAACGACTGTAGTTCATACCGTTCAATAATTCATCTTATGCTATGTAAATTTGCTTCATGCAGGCTATGTTAGGGGGGGGGGGGGGGGGAGGCTCATGTTTTTTGTCCGTTCGGTACCCTATATTTTCAAAACAGACAAAAAATAGAGCGGACAAAAACAGACAAAAAATAACAAAAATGGAAATAACATTTAGATGCTTCCTCCTCCTCCTCTTCCTCCTTCTCCTCCTCCTCCTCCTCTTCCTCCTCCTCAGTCCTCCTCCTGGGTCCTCCTCCTGGGTCCTCCTCCTGGGTCCTCCTCCTGGGTCCTCCTCCTGGATCCTCCTCCTGGGTCCTCCTCCTCCTTCTCCTCTTCAGTTCTTTACCTCCTCCTCTTCCTCAGTCTTCCTCCTCCCTGTCAGTCCTCCTCCTCAGTCAACCTCCTCAGCCATCCTCCTCAGTCCTCCTCCTCATTCCTCCTCCTCAGTCCTCCTCCTCCCCTCCTCCTCCTCCCCCTCCTCCTCAGTCCTCCTCCTTTTCATCCTCCTCTTCAGTCCTCAATCCTCCTCCTCAGTCCTCCTCCTCATCGTTCTCCTAAGTCCTCCTCCTCCTCCTCCTCTTCCTCCTCTTCCAGCTTCCTCCTCCTCAGTCCTCCTCCTGGGTCCTCCTCCGATCCTGGGTCCTCCTCCGATCCTGGGTCCTCCTCCTGGGTCCTCCTCCTGGGTCCTCCTCCTCCTCTTTCTCCTCTTCAGTCCTTTACCTCCTCCTCCTCCTCAGTCTTCCTCCTCCTCCTCCTCCCTGTCAGTCCTCCTCCTCAGTCAACCTCCTCAGCCATCCTCCTCAGTCCTCCTCCTCAGTCCTCCTCCTCAGTCCTCATCCTCAGTCCTCCTCCTCAGTCCTCCTCCTCTTCCCCCTCCTGGGTCCTCCTCCTGGGTCCTCCTCCTGGGTCCTCCTCCTGGGTCCTCCTCCTGGGTCCTCCTCCTCCTCAGTTCTCCTCAGTCCTCCTCCTTCTCAGTCCTCCTCAGTCCTCCTCCTCAGTCCTCCTCCTCCCCAGTCATCCTCCTCAGTCCTCCTGGGTCCTCCTCCTGGGTCATCCTGATCCTCCTCAGTCTTCTTCCTCCTCCCCTCCTTTTCATCCTCCCCCTGGCCCTCTTCAGTCCTCAGTCCTCCTCCTCAGTCCTCCCCCAGTCCCCCTCCTCCTATTCAGTCCTCCTCCTCCTCAGTTCTCCTCAGTCCTCCTCCTTCTCGGTCCTCCTCCTCCTCATCAATCCTCTTCACCAGTCCTCCTTCTCCTTCTCCTCCTCCTTCTCCTTAGTCCTCCTCATCCTCCTCATCCTCCTCATCCACCTCCTTCCCCTCCTCATCATTCCTCATCAGTCATCCTCCTCAGTCCTCCTCCGCCTCCCCTCCTCCTCCTCAGTCCCCCTCTTCAGTCCTACTCCTCAGTTCTCCTCAGTCCTTATCCTCCTTCTCCTCAGTCCTCCCCAGTTTTACTCCTCCCTCTCAGTCATCCTCCTCAGCCATCCTCCTCAGTCCTCCTCCTCCTCAGTCCTCATCTTCCTCGTCAGTCCTCCTCATATTTCTCCTTAGTCCTCCTCCTCCTCAGTTCTCCTCAGTCCTCCTCCTTCTCAGTCCTCCTCCTCCTCCTCCTCAGTCCTCCTCCTCCTCCTGGGTCCTCTTCCTGGGTCATCCTGATCCTCCTTTGTCCTCTTCCTCCTCCCCTCCTCAGTCATCCTCCTACTCCTACTCCTCAGTCCTCCTCCTCCTCAGTCCTCCTCATCCTCCTCATCCTCCTCATCCACCTCCTTCCCCTCCTCCTCAGTCCTCCTCCTCATCGTTCTCCTTAGTCCTCCTCCTCAGTCCTCCCCCAGTCCCCCTCCTCCTCCTATTCAGTCCTCCTCCTCCTCCTCAGTTCTCCTCAGTCCTCCTTCTCAGTCCTCCTCAGTCCTCCTCCTCATCAGTCCTCCTCCTCCTCATCAATCCTCTTCACCAGTCCTCCTTCTTCTTCTCCTCCTCCTTCTCCTTAGTCCTCATCATCCTCCTCATCCTCCTTATCCACCTCCTTCCCCTCCTCCTCAGTCCTCCTCCTCCTCCTCCTTATCAGTCCTCCTCCTCCTCCTCATCAATCCCCTTCACCAGTCCTCTTTCTCCTCCTCCTTAGTCCTCCTCATCCTCCTCATCCACCTCCTTCCCCTCCTCACCAGTCATCAGTCATCCTCCTCAATCCTCCTCCGCCTCCCCTCCTCTTCCTCAGTCCCCCTCTTCAGTCCTCCTCCTCAGTTCTCCTCCTCCTTCTTCTCAGTTTTACTCCTCCTCCTCCTCCTCCTCCCTCTCAGTCCTCATCCTCAGTCCTCATCCTCCTCCTCATCCTCCTCCTCAGTCCTCATCCTCAGTCCTCATCCTCCTCCTCATCCTCCTCCTCAGTCCTCATCCTCAGTCATCCTCCTCAGTCCTCCTCCTCCTCCTCCTCCTATATCCTCCTCCTGGGTCATCCTGATCATCATCCTCCTCATCAATCCTTTTCACCAGTCCTCTTTCTTCTCCTCCTTCTCCTTAGTCCTCCTCATCCTCCTCATCCACCTCCTTCTCCTCATCATTCCTCATCAGTCATCCTCCTCAGTCCTCCTCCGCCTCCCCTCCTCCTCCTCAGTCTCCCTCTTCAGTCCTCTTCCTCATCTTTCTCGTCAGTCCTCCTCCTCATCTTTCTCCTCAGTCCTCCTCCTCCTCCTCAGTCATTCTCATCTTACACCTCCTCCTCAGGTTTCCTCCTCCTCCTCAGTCCTCCCCCAGCCACCCTCATCCTCATCCTCAGTCCTCCTCCTGCTCCTCCTCCTGCTCCTCCTCCTGGGTCCTCCTCCTGGGTCCTCCTTCTCCTCCTCAGTCCTTCTCCTTCTCCTCCTCTGTCCTCCTCCTCATCGGTCCTTCTCCTCAGTTATCCTCCTCCTGGGTCCTCCTCCTCTTTAGTCCTTCTCCTCCTCCTCCTCCTCCTCAGTCCGCCTCCTTCTCCTCACCAGTCCTCCTCAGTCCTCCTTCTCCTCCTCCTCAGTTCTCTTCATCCACCTCCTTCTCCTCCTCATCAGTCCTCCTCAGTCCTCCTCCTCAGTCCTCCTCCTCAGTCCTCCCCCTCCTCCTCAGTCCTCCTCCTTAGTCCTCCTCCTCCTCCTCCTCCTCTTTTCTCAATTATGATCGTCTTTTGTAATCAGTTCAATGATAATACATCTTAGTAAACTTCCGGTTTTGAAAATCTGGTGGCAATACTTGCAATCGATATCTCCTTTCAAGATGAACTTTGAAAGGTCCGCTACTGCAACTACTCAACTACTCAACTACTCTGTACAGGAATATTTCAGGGATCCAATATAAATGTGGCCTTTACCAAATGAGCAACTAATGTTTTCCTGTCAAAGTATGGAAACTTCTATCTATGCTATTTACGAAAACTAAAGTGCAAAATTTGGTTATTAACAAAACCATTTCGTATTTTTAAAAACCGATCGAGTTTCGTATTTATGCTTTGATGAGTAAAATTTGTGACATAAAAAAATTAACTTTATTTTTATCGGCGGGATTACGTGGAATTTGGCGGGATTACGTGGAATTTGGCGGGATTACGCGGAATTACGCGGGATTTCGCGGGATTACGCGGGATTTGGCGGGATTACGCAGGATTACGCGGGATTTGGCGGGATTACGCGGGATTACGCGGGATTTGGCGGGATTACGCGGGATTTGGCGGGATTAGCGGGATTGGCGGGGTTAGGTGTTGCACCCCGCCTTTGTAACCGGTCTTTTCTCATTGTCAACATTGGAATCAAAATTTCCCAAAAAAGTGATTACGTAATATGTGACCGACCCCTAAGAAGCTAAGACTTCGAAATTCAAGAATCTTCTAATTAGAGACGACAGCAAGAATGATATTGCTGCTCTAAAATAATTTCTTTCGTAACCAGTAATTATCGACCAATGTTAGACTCAAACAATGTAAATGAGGCTGCTGATGGGCACACACCCACTATTATTACAGTCAACTTTGTCAAACCAATTAAATGGACACAGCCACTGTATCCATAAACCTTCCAAAGAATTGATGGCAAATATCAAACTGAAGAATAAACCACAAATTTAAATGACTCAGTTTTAATAAGCTTTCCTCTGGCCAAACTAACTGTTAGACTTCAATAACTGGTTTTTCCCCGTTCAAATAACTGCTTCAGTGCGTTCCAGACCTTTTGGTTAAAAAATAATATATTTCAATATCAGTTATCATATAATATAAAGTATGTTTATTAATCTTAAAACATCTGCATATTTTAAAATAATCCTAACCGAACCTACCTTTACTAGGAGATGAGTCAAATAAAGCAGCGGTTAACTAGATGGGTACATCAGCCTGCAGATCAGAGGTGTAAGAGTTACATATTCTTCACCACTGTAGGGTCGTTTATTGCTCGAGCTGTCCAGTTCGGTAAATTACCCTACTTCAGTGATAAAACTAACTTTCTTAATCAGGTTCGTTAACTAGGTGGTAACTAGGTGGTAACTAGGTGGTAACTACCCTACTTCAGCGATAAAACTAACTTTCTCAACCAGGTAATAAAGATTACAAAACTAGGTAGTAACTAGGTGGTAACTAGGTGGTAACTAGGTGGTAACTAGGTGGTAACTAGGTGGTAACTAGGTGGTAACTAGGTGGTAACTAGGTGGTAACTAGGTGGTAACTAGGTGGTAACTAGGTGGTAACTACCCTACTTCAGTGATAAAACTAACTTTCTTAATCAGGTCCGTCTGAAATGAGAGATTTTATTGTTGACTATTTTAGTTATCTGGTTATATCTTTATTATATATGGTAAAGGAGACTTAAGAACATATTTCATAGGATTTCAGTTTGTTACTTAATTTTATAGTCTAAGAAATAAGTCATTAGCACATTTTACAAGATAAAACATAGATGAATCAATTAAAAAATTAGATTAAATCCATTAAATTAAATACCCTACCATTATACTTAAATCAATAACTATTAATTTCATCTCAGGTGTTTGTTAAGCAATGTTGGGCGTGGACACTACTGCTGATAACACTAATTACTCTTCTTAGAGTGATATTGGATAAATTACCCCTCAGAAAAGTTTATATAGTTACTCTTAGGCTTATGTTTGGAACATTATTCTGGTTAGTTTTACTTAAGAACTGGAATAGTTTAATATATTGTGGCCAGTATTTCAAACTGACTGATTAATTTTTTATTCGCGCCGCCTGTTATAACTTTATAAGGCAATACCTGTACACTGTACAGGGACATCTGCCGATTTTGGTACTTCTCATTCATAAATTTATAATGTGACCTAATTTGTAGCATTAGGCCAAACGCATACCAAAAACCAGCCAATCTCTTTCATTGATAATTACTTAGTCTTAATTAGCTAATTAGCTAAGCCCCAATAGTTGGAATAAGACTTTCCCGGGTATATTGGAACTCAGGTAGTAAGTATGTAATACCTATGCAGTATGTAGTGACATACGACCCTGAGCTGGTCATTAGGAAAGTTCGCACGAGATGGACCACGTTTTTCCCAATTTAACTTTAGAAGATTGTCACAGGAATAACTTTTAACATATCTGTTTAAGATTTAAGGCATATGATATTTCACATGTCTATAGTTCAACTAATTGAGTTTCGATTAATAAAATTTTTGAAGCATTTAGTTGAGGGCAAATTGAGGCTAACGAGTAATTTTACATTTTGTTTTCCAATGACAGCTTCCAAGCATGCAATAAAAGTTTAAACGTGTTTAATCGATATATATAATAATAAACTGTACTTTGATTTGATTTGAAACTTTTACAAAATAGCAAATATACAAATGTACAGCAAATCGAACAAACATATAAAATGGGCCGAAATGTATAAATGCTAAAAAGCGTGGGTCAGTGAAACAAGTACAGAGGACAACTTTTAAAACACGAGGTTTATGGCCGCCCAAAGTCTCAATAACGTCACCTCCACCTAGTAATAAAATTATGAAATATGAAGTGTGAAACAAATTATGAAATATGAAGTGTGAAACAAATTATGAAATATGAAGTGTGAAACAATCAAGAAATAGCTCGTATATAAATTATAAAATTGTCTCTCAAATACAGATAACGTCCGAAAACTATTAAGATACACAATACTCATTCAAATACTAATCAGTGTCCGAGAGACATGAATTGCTTCATGGTGGTTTCTTATCACGGCTACAGACTTTCCCGTACCGGATATAGTGGTCGAGATGAGTCTGTTCAGCCCTCTTCTTCTTCAGGTCGGTAACCAGATGTTTCCTCGTTTCTCGTTCTTCGCTAGATCTATCTGGACAGATCCATACATTTTTGTGGGTCTCAACTAGCCTCAGTCTCCCTGTTTTCATCAGAATCTGTTGAACCGCTGTTGAGCTTGGGACAGTGATCTTTACTGGTCGGATAGTCGTACTACCTGACCTCTTCCTGCCGACTCTAGTCGCTTCAAAGTTAGGTTTCTCCCCAATCTCCTCCAGAACTGCGGTTACTAGCGCTGGAAGCTGTTCTCCCTCTTCTTCTTTCAACCCAAACACAATCAGGTTCTTGCTCCTGTCCTCCTCTGCAGCCACACTCTTCATCACCTTCTTCAGGATGTTACTGTTGCAGACCGTACCACTTGCACTGTTCTGTTGTACAGCTGCACTGTAGCTCTTAATCCCTGACTCCACCGTTGTTTGCACTGTCTCCTTAACCGACGTCTTAAACAACTGCAGTTCTTTGTCCTTCTGCACAAGCAGCTGGCCCTGCAGCCTGATCAACTTATCCTTGTCTTCTAACGCTTCCGTCTTCAAGAAATATATGATCTCTTCCATTTTACCCATCTGGCATTCATGCCGTTGAACGAGGTCTATTGCTTCCACAAGCCGAAGTGCCAGATGCTTTTTATAGACAGTTGGAGCCATAAATATTTCTCTGTATAGGAATGTACAAGTACACACGCAAAGGCTAACTACGCGGTAGCAGCAAACTGAACTTATCGCAATTTACAAAAGATAAGAGAGTTCGATAATTGCAACGAAAGCTACACTGACTACACACACTTTTTTATTTACCCTTTTCATGTTTTACACCACATATCTCCCAGGTATTCGATGACAACGATAATAGATGGTTTAAAAGATAACATGGGTAAATGCACTGAGGGGGAGGGAGAGTATAATACCAGACTCCTCTGTGTTACTGAGGGGGGCTCTTGGAAATACGTCATGGATATCTCAGGTAACCATTTGTTGTTGTTTTTTAATTGGTCAATATTTGTTGTATAAATTATGTTATTAAAACATAATTTTGCTCAAAATTTTTGTCTTCTGCTTGTTGTCTTCCCTATTGTAAAATCTAAGAAGTATCAAGTTTTATTTCTCGATCGATTCACCCTGACTTTGCATACTTGCATATATTTTGCAAGTTTTGCATGCCTATTGGGAATTGATTCGGTTATTAGAAACAATGCAAATAATTACAGGTCACATGTTCATGATGGTATTTTGCAATCTTTTCATCACCAAAACTCTCGACGAAATCAACCAGCATCAAGATAAAGGTATTTACTATAATTTACCCTAGTTTAACCTTCAAATACAAACGTTTCACTCCTTATTTGTGAATCACGTGGTTTAACCTTCAAATACCTCTGGTTTTGTCTCCGTCTGGACACAATTGTTCATTGTTGAGTGGACTAATGATATTCTGCTGACATCTTAAATACTCTGTTATTTCGCGACACTCAGACCCTGCCTTTGTACATGTTATCCAACAATCCACAACTTGGTAATCCATCCATCGTTGTGTAATGCATAAAGTTGTGTAAATTTACACGGTTAACGCATAAAGTTGCTGTTCAGCTGGCTGCCCGACCTTGGGGAATGAGTGATATGACCACCATATACGTCATCAAGTAATGAACATGCAAGCACCGTGGGAAATAAGAGAAGCTGACACTTAGGGGGTTCACCCAGATTTTTTTTTGAAATTTAATTTCGTGATAGCAATTGATCAACAAACTAGGGCCTGTGACCGAACTTCCGGTGCCCGCGGGACAGCCACGGAAGCCAATGTAATAGAGAAAGTTATCATGTTGTTACCTGTTTCAGATCCACTACAACTACCTCACGTGATATTACATGCGGTCTGCAGACTATTTGTTATCCTGTTCGATATCATGATGGTGTTTACAATCCTTTACTGGCACTCGCCCCCCGAGAAGATACTGGGCACTTTAACTGGTGTTCTGGGCTACTTCTTACTCTTTAAGCAGTTGTCTAGCTTTATTCCTACTAATTGGGTGTAACTAGCTTTATTCCTACTAATTGGGTGTAATTAGCTTTATTCCTACTAATTGGGTGTAATTAGCTTTATTCCTACTAATTGGGTGTAATTAGCTTTATTCCTACTAATTGGGTGTAATTAGCTTTATTCCTACTAATTGGGTGTAATTAGCTTTATTCCTACTAATTGGGTGTAATTAGCTTTATTCCTACTAATTGGGTGTAATTAGCTTTATTCCTACTAATTGGGTGTAATTAGCTTTATTCCTACTAATTGGGTGTAATTAGCTTTATTCCTACTAATTGGGTGTAATTAGCTTTATTCCTACTAATTGGGTGTAATTAGCTTTATTCCTACTAATTGGGTGTAATTAGCTTTATTCCTACTAATTGGGTGTAATTTGCTTTATTCCTACTAATTGGGTGTAATTAGCTTTATTCCTACTAATTGGGTGTAATTAGTTGATCCGTGGTGTTTTGTTATTATATTTAAAATTGAGCTAAATTATTGGTTTATTTGATTTAGTTTAGAAGAAATAATATAGTTTCATAACCAGAGCATCTATTTTATAAACAGCAAGATATTTAAGTTTGTAAAACCTGTTACAACAAATTCTTCAGTTTTCTCTATTTCATCATGACCTGTGTGTTGAAAGCCTGTATTTATTACGCTCAGTTCCCCTTACCTCATGTACTGTTTTTCAAGGGTACGTGCTTGTACGTATACTAGTAACACACTCTATATAGGTGGGAGACGTAGCTTGTACGTATACTAGTAACACACTCTATAGGTATAGGTGGGAGACGTAGCTTTCTACACCATTATCTTATGTGTGATAATGATAATATTATACTCCTTTATAAAACTATCTTTCCCGGTATGTAACTCTGATTTTTCTCCTATTGAACGTGAGGTGGAGTGTGCCTGTGTTGATATGTTTACTGTTGAACATGTTGATATGTGTACTGTTGAACATGTTGATATGTGTAATGTGTACTGTTGAACATGTTGAACTACGTGTTTCACTTACCATTCTAGTCAAGTAGCTACTATAACATAATAATAGGGATAATAATATGTGACGTGAGACGGTAATTTGAGACAGTGATTTGCCTTACGTCTAGTACGTAGGGGTTTTTGTTTTGGTTTTTGGATGTTATTACGATACTCTTCTTTAAGCTTATGACTTCTATCTTATTATCATATCCTAGCGCTAGTGTATATTATGGTATAGTTTAATCATTATCTAAGTTTATCTGGGCAAATATCTATTTTGCATAGTTTGTGTAAGTTTTTTAGTTTTATGATTTAGGTTTTTTGCGTTTAATAAGAGTGGGCTATTTTATTTTCCTTAGTTATTACTTTATTACAGTGGGTTTTAACTTTTTATTCTAGTGTGAGCCGTGAGGTGGTTTTACAATTTCATTGTACAGATTGAGATATGAAACTGTTAATTTTACTTGCTTCACGATAAGAATCAAGAACATCTGTCAGTAGAATAATACAGCATCTTGATTTCACCGAAGGTAATTAATTATATAATTAATTAACCAAAGGTAATTACGATTTTTCATAGATTTCAATGCTGTCCTAACTTTAAATTTTACAATAACCTCCTCTCACTAATTAGCTAAATATTCTTATAATCAATCAATTAACTTTTAATGTCTGAAAGGATGGTGGTGACTACAAGTGAACAGATTGAGCATGACGAAATGCAATACCTGAATCTCATACAGACTATCATAGCTAAAGGTACGTGTTTATGGAGATCTTAACTGAGTAAAATTTACTTTGTTTAAGAACACTGTCCATTTAATACTTTCAACACTACACTTATTAGTATATTAGTAAATAATTGTACCAGTGTACTGGTAATCAGAGGGCATTATATTATGTACAAGTTTTACAATTAGTATGTAGTGTGCTGTATGTTTGTCCCAAGTAAAATAATTAGCACGTACTAGTCAACAATGTACAATGTACAATGTACAATGTACATTGTACATACTAGTATCTATCAAACTACGTGAAATTTAGAGCGGGTTTTCACTCTATCTAATAACTTAATAACACTGCTCTCACCCACCTAAAGGAAATTGCCGCGGTGTAACGGGGTTTGCATTTTGCCATAAAGGGGACTGGGGGTGTTACTTTATTCAAAAGTTCAAAGAGCATTTATGTACTGTAAACGTGTCCCAAGTCCAAACACCGTCATATCGCTCATTTTAATAACCCTAATAAGTCATTATTAATTAGCTTCTTTTTACCTACCACTACAATGATATTGATGGGTTCGGACTGTTCTGAAGAAAGTTACCACAATCCAACATGTGGTTTTTAGGTTATACTTTCTTATCCATGCTTGTGAAACTATCGTCACTATCACAGAATATAATATTGAATATAATTATGTATTTTGTAAGTAATGAGTTTTAAGAAGATGGAAACAAATAACATTTTATAAGCGTGTGTGTGTAAAATACCGGAATACAAATCGAACTCACACTTTTGAGTACTTTAGTCTCATGTTTCAAATAACAACTTCCTTCTTTTAAAAGCGTAACACATAGTGACGCATAGTTTTATACTTATAGCAGTAACTTTAGCTATATTCTAGCTATATCTAGCTATATTCTAGCTATATCTAGCTATATTCTAGCTATATCTAGCTATATATTTAGCTATATCTAGCTATATATTTAGCTATATCTAGCTATATATTTAGCTATATCTAGCTACATCTAGCTATATATTTAGCTATATCTAGCTATATATTAAGTTATATCTAGTTATATCTAGCTACATCTAGCTATATATTTAGCTATATCTAGCTTTATATCTAGCTATATTTAGCTATATTTAGCTATATATTTAGCTATGCAATTAAAATGCCTATTTTTGAAAATTATAAGGCAAATATAATTATGTATTTTGTAAGTAATGAGTTTTAAGAAGATGGAAACAAATAACATTTTATAAGCGTGTGTGTGTAAAATACCGGAATACAAATCGAACTCACACTTTTGAGTACTTTAGTCTCATGTTTCAAATAACAACTTCCTTCTTTTAAAAGCGTAACACATAGTGACGCATAGTTTTATACTTATAGCAGTAACTTTAGCTATATTCTAGCTATATCTAGCTATATTCTAGCTATATCTAGCTATATTCTAGCTATATCTAGCTATATATTTAGCTATATCTAGCTATATATTTAGCTATATCTAGCTATATATTTAGCTATATCTAGCTACATCTAGCTATATATTTAGCTATATCTAGCTATATATTAAGTTATATCTAGTTATATCTAGCTACATCTAGCTATATATTTAGCTATATCTAGCTTTATATCTAGCTATATTTAGCTATATTTAGCTATATATTTAGCTATGCAATTAAAATGCCTATTTTTGAAAATTACTATCGCTTCCTAATAACCTGATAAATTCCACAGTTAATTTCGACTTTAAACGATTTAACGCAACAGCATGGCACTTATTTCAACACTTAAAAGCTTAAATAGTAAATACATTCCGTAGGTAATATTAATTTTAACAGATTGTTCCAAATCACGTAAACCAATCAATAGTACTGAATATTTTAAATGTTTCGCTTTACTGGAATGCAGGTAACAGCATAGTAACCATGGTAAAGGTATGCAGGTAGATAGACACAACAGCAGAGTTATTTTTTGTAATCATTAGCTTATAACAAAATGCCTTTCTGAATTCTGATAGCATCGCGTTTAAACCAATCACGAAGCTGCATTATAACCACGTGACCAATAACAAGTAACCTCTCCAGGAAACAAGAAGAAGGATAGAACTGGAACAGGTACCATATCCCAGTTCGGGGCCCAGATGAGATTCTCACTGCGGGACCAGTTCCCCCTGTTAACCACTAAACGTGTGTTTTGGAGAGGAGTGGCAGAGGAGTTATTGTGGTTTGTTGCAGGTTTTTATACATATTCTTTGTGTATGTGTGTGTTACGGTGATGATAAAAATGTGACGCATTTTGATCCTTATTTTCCAGTATACATGTTTAAGTTTACTCGACTAAATAGCATGCTGAATTGCTGCATTTATCTTGCATATGTTTCCTTGCACTTACTGCTAGCTTCAGTCGTGGAAGTTGATTAAAAGCTCTGTGACTTCAGTACAGTAATGAGTAATCTAAACCTTCCACTTAAAGTACATTACATTGGTGGAGTATGTGCCACTATATTCAACGGCTTCAGGATATGAATCATACCATGTACATTGTGTACATTGTATACATTGTATACATCGTATACACAGTTGTACGCTAGTCACTAAAAAGTTCAGCACGCAGACAATGATATGCATTGTGACGTCTTGAGTGAAAAATCTTAATTTGCATGCATC